CAAGAGTGGAATTACCTGATGATCACGGAAGGGAACAAGGTGACGAGCTCGAGCCACGGGCTAAAAGAAGGATCGTCGGAAAATCGGCGCCCAGAGTTGCGGTGATGGAGCGCAGTTCGGAGTTTGGGATATATGAAGATGATCTTCCCAGCGACGAAGAGGTGCTCTGCGATGACGAGGACCTTGGTGATGGCACGCAAGGGGTGATGATCGAGGAGAGTCCCGTTCCTCGAGTGGCTGTTTTGGGTTCCAATAGGGGCGAGACACAAGATGGTCATGAGGACTCAATGGACCCAGAGGAATATGCCAAGGAGATTATCTACAATGAGGACAATGTCGATGAAGAAGTGATCAAAAGGCTATTTGAACTGTTGCCAAATCAGAGACTACCTCGACAGACAGAGGACTGTGGAGCAAGTGGCTTACCTCCTAAGGCGTGGGCTTCGGGAGTTTATCGTCATGGTGGAGTGCTGGGTGTGAGGAAGTCATCCCGTGAGTTTCCGTATTCTACAAGACTGGTGAATCAGTTCATTCGGGAGGTTTTGGGCGATTCGACTACATGGTCTACCTTTTCGCTTCATCGGAATCTTGGGGTGAAACGACATCGCGACTCTCACAATGCCCGAGATGAGCTTTCCTACCTCATCCCAATCAGCGAGTTCGGAAAGGGTGGTCTTTGGACACAGGCCGAAGCTGGTGAAGCTGTGGAGGATGATGAAGCAGTGTTTTTGGATGGGAAGCGTGGGCGTGTGAGGCCATTGCAATCTGAGGAGGGGACAAAGGAAGTGGTTTCGTTCAATCCAAGGCAATGGCACGCGACGATGCCGTGGACTGGCGACAGACTGGTGATGGCTGTGTACCAGGTCCGTGGTCTCAATCAGATTAAGAAGGAGGACGAGGACCTTGCGTTGGATTTGGGTTTCTCTTTGTCTACGAATGAATCAGAGAGTCCGAGGATGTGCAAGCTCATCGGTCAAGAAGGTGAACAACCAGGCCCCGCACCACAAGAAGAGGGTGAGCTGGAATTGGAGCCGGTGGAGGAATTTATGTACATCAGGATGTCCGAGGAAGAGTGGTATACAACGATCGCACGGTATGGACCAGATCGCTACGTTGCTGAAATGGCAGCGAGATGGCGGAGGATTGAGCCTGAAGAAGGGAACCTGAACTCAGTGATTCCAGCCGCCATAGCAGCAGATGTGGATCGAGATTGGGAGGCCGCTCCAAGGATTTTCTTGATGTCGGAAGAAGGAGAGGAGCTTCATGTTGGACGAATGCTGGGAACGAGGACTACCAGAATCCCGGATCACGGACCAGAAGGGTTCACTTCGACTTTCCTCAAGGCTTGCAAGATCTATAACCTCGTGACGAATGAGGAGGAGATGATTGTGTTTTGGATGCAAAGGAGAATTGTCATTCATCGTGCACTTCCCGAAGACCAACGTCATGCTTGGAGGGGCTCCGAAGATCCCAGACCCCCTGATGTCGACCCAAGGGGGCGAGCACCACGTTTAGCAGCTATCTCTGTTGATGATTCACAAGACTTGTTACGGTTTGTGGAGGTGGACACAGAGGCTTGCGATGGTCCGGATGTAGCAAGGATGATGAAGGCAACTCCAGAAACTCTATATACAACCAACATTGAGGAGTTGCTTGAGAAGGTCAATGACGACAATCCTCTGAAGGTCACCCATACAGTTGATCCTCGTGAAGTACTACCAGTGGTCGACAAATGGGTACCAGCTATGCAAGCAGAACTCACAGCCCTGGAGAAGATGCCAGCAATCAAGCGCTATAAAGGGACTGAGGCCGCGGCTTTGAGACGAGATCCTCGATTGGTGATTGTTCCTAGCAAGCTGGTGTTCACTGTGAAGCCGGGGGCCAACCCGGGGACATTTCGTCGTAAGGTCAGGAGTGTGGCGTGCGGAAACTTCTCGGGCGAGTCAGCAGAGGAACTGGGTGACATCTACTCAGCCGGGGCCACCATTGATCTGGTAAGACTGTGTTTGGGCGAGGTGAATTCCAACGAAGGCTGGATCGCCGCGACCGACGACATAAAGACAGCTTTCCTACGGGCTCCGATTCCAGATCTTCCAGATGGCCGAAGGTATGCGATGGAGGCGCCGAGGGCGATGATTCGGGCAGGCTTGGCGGAGCAAGGAGAACTCTGGTTGGCGACTGCTGCCGTATATGGGTTTCAAAGAAGCCCTAAGTGGTGGTCAGAACATCGCAATGCTACAGCACGAGCAGCGAAGTGGAAGTCACCCGGTGGAGGAGTCATGAAGATGGTGGCATGTGTCACGGATGAAAACTTGCACAAGCTCGTGGAGGTGATGAAGGACGGAACCGAGCGGATAAAGGGATATGTCCTGTTCTACGTCGATGATACGTTGGCGGTGGGACCTCCCGAGTACGTTCATGGTTTCTATGATTGGCTGGAGTCTACATGGGAAACAAGTGGCAGGGAAGTGGTCTCGAAGGAGGCCATTGTCCGATTCCTAGGCTTGGAACTTTCGCTGGATGATGAAGGACGGATGAAAATCACTCAGCGCGGCTATGTGGACGAGCTCTTGCGGAAGCGCCAGGTGACCACTTACAGCAAGGTTCCTTTCGTGAAGGAGTGGGCAACAGACGAGATCCCGAAGGATGCCGATTGTTCTCCAGCCTTGATCAAGGAGGCTCAGCAAAGATGTGGCGAGATACTCTGGACCACTCAGAGATCGCGACCGGATGCCGCTTATGCTGCGATGATGATGTCGAGGCTCACAACGCGATGGCC